GACGCCCACTTCGAGAACACGAACAATTGTGGACTATCGACTCGGATCATCGGCTCTGATGAAGACGAAACCGTCGAAACGTTAGCCGAAATAAACGTATTTATTAACCTTGTGTGAACTCAACAATTTCAAAAACATGTGAATAATTTCGGCGAGATATTATCGCCTTGCCTAACCCCTTTTCAGACGTCAATGTTAACATCTTTGTAGAATGGTGACTTCTTATTTATGAAATTTTTGTGCAGCTCACGAAGGACTCCCTGACTAGCAAGGGTTTCCATGACTGCTTCTCTCTCAATTGAGTCAAAAGCCTTCTTTAAATCAATAGAAGTAAGACAAAGCAGTCTCTTGTACTCTCGCGATACTTCAATGAGTTTTGCTGCCGTGTGGAGATGCTCCTTCGTAGTGAATCGTTTTCGAAACCCTGCTTGCTCACATGGCTGTCCTTCGTCCAGTGTTCCAATCCTGTTTAGGATGACTCGAGTGAAAAGTTTGTAGACAACAGACAGCAAGCAGATTGGACGATAGTTGTCGATATCGTGTAGGTCACCCTTCTTGAACAATAACACGGTCTTGCTGGTCTTCCACTGAGTAGGGACCTTGCATTCAGACAGGTAACGTGTGAAGAGCCGCGCCAGTGTGTTTACGAGGACTGGTGGAAGGTTCTTTAGGTGTTCTGGTCTTATTCTGTCCGGACTCGGTGCTGTTCGATATCTCACCGACGAAATAGCATGTCGGATTTCGGACGAGTAGTATTCGTAAGTGATTTTCTCCATTGGCTTTCTGAACGCTGCAACTGTTCCGCCTGGGCGTCGGAATGCAATCATCTTCGTCTTGTAATTGGCGAAGCTTCGACGGGCTTTGCGAATGCTTTTCCCAGCCTCTGCAGCTTCAGCCATTACCGCTGCTCTTCCCTCTCTAAGATCTTCTTTAATCGCCTCTCTGCATTGTTTTGCAAGATCGGATGTTAGTTCGCGGTTGCCTGCAGCTCGTGCGATTCCACGCTGGCGTAACATCTCTAGTGTTTCTGGAGACAGGCGTCTCTTGGTGACTTTCGAACTCTGAGCTTTCATAGCGCTAACGTGAAGATGTTGAATGAGCCTTTTGTAGTTGCTAGTCGAAAATAGGCCTTCGAGTCAGTTCTCGGCACCCAGTAATCACTAGCTTTTAGCAGAATGCTCGACTTCGTGAATAAATGCCACGCGGGACTTTTCGTAGTAGTCACACGGCAATACCTCAAACTTGGGTAATTAAACCTTTATATACATAAATGCAACAATAATAACATAATAGTAACTATAGTGAAGTAGTGGTAGAGGAATGAGACAAGTTAGAGCTCTGAGGTGCTAAGGCCTGTAGTGAAGTGAGGCTAACAATGAGGCAATAGCATTCAAACATTGTAATACCATTAACACAATATTAACAATAATAATGAGATTATAACGAAGTAGCCTTTGCTTAACCGTAAGCGATGCCGCGCCGCGTCTATGCGCGGCCGGCGCGGCGGCTGAGGGAGACAGTATGCTGGGGGCGGAGGGAGGAGACTGTATGCCGCGGAGATGGAGACAGTATGCTGAGGTGGTGAGGGTTACAGACTGTCCGTGTTTCGGCCAAGCTAAGATTTCAACATTATAGCGATGAGGAGCATTTTAATTGATCGATGAGGACTGTAAGTTACATGAGTGTTGACGGTGCTATGGACAGTGAATGATGAGTCATCTACGGAACTCAGTCAGGCGGCTGGTCGTGAATAACGCTATGTCAGCAACGTGAACTTTGAGCATCGATGGGTGCCACCATTGCCTAAGGGTAAGGACCAGTATGAT